CCCCATGTATAAGACGCCTCCCACTTTTCTAACCCAAAATTAAGAAATCTAAGTAGGGCTTAGCAGGTGTAGGGGGAATGCAAGGGAGCTTAGCACAAAGGGAGAAAGCAGGGATCAAAGCAATCCTGCAGTGCTTTGATCCCTGCTTTCTCCCTTCATGCTAAGCTCCGCGGGGCTTAGCAAAAGGAGGGGAAAAGGGATCAAATCAATCCTGCGACTGCATGATCGTTTTGATTGCTTTCCCCTTATACAGCCATGGGATTGCTTTGATCCTTTCCCCCTACACTTGCTAAGCCCCATGTGACTTAGTAAGCAGAGGGGAAAGCAAGGATCAAAGCATCCTGCAGCGCTTTGATCCCTGCTTTCCTTTTGCTAAGGCTTAGCAAGTGGAAGGGGAAAGCAGGGATCACAGCCCTGCAGGATCACTTTGATCTCTTCTTTCCCCTCCACTTGTTTTTTCTCTCCTCAGCTTACTTCTGTGAAATTGTATAGTGGTTGGAAAATATGAGGGAGAACAAAATACAGCATTTTTATAGATATCCCTTGAACCAGATTGTCTAGAGCAAACTGATTTCAACAGTCTTTGGGTTATAGCACAGCATTTTTATAGATATCCCTTGAACCATTAGATTGTCTAGAGCAAATTGATTTCAACAGAGTCTTTGGGTTATAGGGAGTCCTTCCTACATACTGTATTTGTAAAGATCTGTAAATCTACACCCAGGAAGGAAGAAATGGTCTATATTGTTTGGGTTAAATGTGTGGCTGCAACTTTAATAACTTATTAAAACTTATTACATTAGTGATTAATGGAGGGGGAGGGACAATATATATATATTCTTGTCCTATTAATTGTGCCTGACCAGGGAGCTTGGTCAGGCTTCAAGCTGCTCAGTTTTTTGAGCATAAATCTCCTGCTATTAATGCAATCTGCACAGAGATAATTTGGTAAAGCCTGGATAAGCTTCCACCAGCAGTCATACAAATCCACCTTTCCTAATATCACTGTCTTAGCGAAAACAAAACAAAACCTAAACCTCAAATTACCATGTTTTCTTGTGGTTTCTGAACTCTCTTCACTGAAATGTTGATTTAAGTCAATGGCCCAGCTGCAAGC